ATGAACAGAAAATGTATTAACCTTACCAACACTTCCAAAAACAAGAGAGCCCATGAAGATTAGACAGCATCTTGAGCATGTGAGTCTGTTTATCATCTTGTCCAAGTCGCTTAGTGTGATGAAAAATTGATACAAAGACCATCGGACTAATAGCTAAGTAGTTAAAAAATGATCCGATTATAGCAGAGAAATGTGTAGGAAAGGCAGCTTTGAGAACATGCCCTGGTGGATCTGCAGCTCCACTGCACAGACATCGATTTAACCTGACTAATAACACACACACATGCAATGAAAATCAGCTTACTATCTTTCATCAGTGTTAAAATAGTGTGAATTTAACACACTTAAACCCTGAACTTGAGGAATAACTCAGGGAAGTTCCATGACAATAGAGTGATTTTTGTGAAAAGGAAAAAGTGATTACAGCTTAAAGTAGTTTGTAGAATAGTGCATTAGAAGTGTTCTTGTACAGATTGATCAAAACAAGTGATTACTGAAAGAAAATAAAAATAATTCAATAATGTGGTAATGTTTAAATATGCATTTCTCTTGTCACGGCAACTTCTTGAGATATGACTCAGTATGCAAATTAGTTGAATGACTGGGGACAGGAAAAGAAAAGAAGAACTTGGGTTTCCTGTCTGACTGTATGAGTGAAGCTTGCACTGAAAGAGACACTGTGACTGGGTGAGAACAAAGGCTTGGTAACATACAGGATAATTAAATAAAGTGGTCAGTGCAGTAGTCTAAGTGCAGGAGTCCAGATTTGGAAAAGAAATTTATAATTTAGTGATGATAGATTGTTATAACGTCTTTAGAGAGGGCTTAATGAGAATATCAATGGTGTGCAAAACTGTGTGACTTTTAACAAGATTTTCTGTGTATTTAGCAGGTGAAATTATGTCAGTTGACCTCAGACTGTCAGTCGCTGAAGAACCTGAGGCAAAACTTTTCTGTGATTACGATTTTTGGGTTTGTTGTTTTAGTGATGGGTTGATTCTGACAGTTAGGTTTGGGTTGTTTTCTTATTTTAATAGAGGGAGTTTTATTGATCCTGGACGTGGGTAGAACTGGGCCCTTGTAACAGTGCACTTAAGAGAAAACCTGTCAGGTGATTATGTTTTGTGCTTTGATGAGCTACTAATCAGCTCTCTTTTTCTCATTTTTGTGCTAAGCAGGCCTGCAGGAGTGAATTAACAGCGCTGTAAAAACTTTTCGGGAGAACAAACATAAGGTGAGCTTTTCCAGATTACAATGGGCTGAGGAAAAGGCTACCTGTGGGGACCTGATCAGGTTGTAAGTCCCCGTCTAAAAGGATTGCAGCGAGTCAATCCAGTCCAAGAGCATAAAGAACTCTTCCTAAAAAACAAAACAAAATAAAACAAATGAATGAGCTCATGTTGCTGAGGGTGGAGAATGGGATTATTTGCGCGGGAGTCTCCACTATTAGCAATATCTGGTGTGAATGCGTGTGAGCGAATGTGTGTGACTGTGATGGACTGACGATGTGGACTAAAGGTTGGACTGACTGGACACTGAGATAAAGACTGGCCCAAGATAGGATAAATAAATGCTGACAAACAATTCACCACGCGGGCAAGAGAAGGGGATGCTTTGCTTTGCTTTGCTTTTGCCATGAGCAGGAGGAGCGGAAGACTTAATTCTGGGGCTGCTAATTTTGGGTTGTTGATGTTTGCTTGAAGAAAATTCTGTTTTGTTGACTGGGTTTAGATTATGGTATCACATTATATTGTTGGGAGAATGTCAAATGCTAAAGGGGAGGAAATTTTTGATATTACTCGTGCTACCATTAACCAAAGCAGGCCAGTAGAAGACAATTAAATTTTATAGAGGAAAATAGTCAGAACAAAGCAAAATTTACGAGTTACATAGGGGAATGGTAGACTTCTTACATTAAAACAAAAACAAAAACAGTTATGGAATAACAAACACTGGTCCAAGAGACTGAGGTTTTCTTCCTTTAAAACAGTAAATTATTAAAAGAGCACGATCGGTAAGGGTATGTGATACTAGCTGGTACTGGAGGAAAACGGGAGCAAAGTAAAGAGAGAAAACATATTTTGGTTAGCTCTGATAAAGTCAAAATTAAAAGAAGTACCATTACATTCAGAGGAGCAACATGAAATTAAAATGTGAAATTTTGTATGAAGAACATGACTGATAACTGCTCTGTCTTAAGTTTTGTTTCTTATGGCACAGATTGGATCATAAGTGGGGAAAACTGAGTTTCAAAGGTAAAGTTCATGTTAACACACAGGTTTTGTTTCTAGGCAGTTCCGAGGATGCAGGCTCTGGGTGGAGCCAGGAGTTAAAAAGGTTTAACATGATAATTAAACGGATTTTATTACTTAACACAGGTTTGCAAGTGGACTTGCAACGCGATATCATAGCGTGGCTCAAGCACGTTCATCACAGTTTAAACACCTTGTTTTGCACAACGGAATATGACCTCCCGTCTGCAGCTAAACACCCCAATAGCTCTAGTAATAGCTTTAGCCCGGTCGGACTGGGCAGCAAAGGGCTGCTTAAATGCCGAAAACTCCTCTGCTCCTTCACCTGGACCGCTAGCACTGACCGTACCGCTTGACAGACTGACCACGCGCACCATACACATACTTTTTTTCTTTTTTGAATCTTCGGATCACGTGCGTGCCGAACCGTGGAGTGGGATCGGTTCGGATTTCGGATCAACCGTGATCCGTTACACCTCTAATATCTGAGGTGCTTCTGCGCTACCACAGGGACACGACTTCATCAAACCTCTTTAGCAGTTTTTAAAGGCTCTGACTTTTTAAATAAAGGCTGAAATATCTCCATCATTGAATCCTGCTATTGCACAGAACAGAAATTTATAATTTAATACATCTAGCAGTAACATATGGTCAACTTATGCTATGCAGGTAGTGCTGCTTCTCTGTGAGGATGCGTCTGTGTGCGTTTGGTCTTCTTACATTTGAGGAAATAGTGACACAAACATTTGAAAAATTATGGCTTTAAGTGAGCAGAAGGGATGTTATGTGTAGTTTTATACATTTGTACGCAGAGAAAGTTTAATGCAAGAGAAAATTATCAGATTCGTGAAGATGAACTTAATAAATTGTGTGTAACTGATCAGTGTTTATTTGGGTTTGGATGTATACATTTGTAAAAGAAGTTTTGCATGTGCTCAAATTGCTTTGCATTTATGTGTGGATTTAAGCATGTTTGAGAATCCTCTAAAGTTAAACACACATCACTGCAGTCATTTGTCTTAGTTTACACTCATACTTATTTGTAACACTGTTGAGACAAATTTTGCTATAAAAAAAAATCCAGGTTTAGTGTTTCTAAGGTCTTTGTGCTCTCCAACATCTCGTGTAAAGATTTGAGGAAATGATTAGTTGCACAAATCATGAGAGAATCTGTTTGGTTTCTTGACATGATGGTGCAGCTTTAGAGCTGAACAACATTTGAGAAGTCAAAACAAACAGAAAATGTGACAGCAAAAATTTCCCTTCACGTTTGAAAAACAACCCAAACAAAGCTGCTCAACATGACTGAAATATCAAAGGAACACATGAAGTCAGATCTATGTGAGAGGCAGAAACTCACATGCGTAAGAAAACATCTGAGTGTTTCCTGGCTGATAATCACATTAAAAGTCTCTGCTTAGCCACCAGCTCTCACCTGCTGACAGAGGCAGAACAAAACCTGAAAAACCAGAACTTCAGGATCAGAATTCGAAAAGTGAAACTGAAAGAACTTTAAAATCTGTTTCTTTTAAACAAGAATCAAACTGAGCTCATCCAGCCGTTCTCAACAGCACAGTAGAGATTCTGTCCAACACTGGTGAGTACAGACGATCACACTGTTTTAAAATCCAGATGTTCAGTCTCATCTCTTTATGACTTAGAATACTTCTGCATCAACACAGGATTACGACTAGGAGTAAAAACAAACAAATATAAAGACAGTAAGTGAAAGTAAGTTTTTGTTTCACAGCAGTTTCACTGCGGAAAATCTGTTTCTCCTCAAAGGAACCTTAAACTAAGCTCATCCAGCCTTTCTGAGCAGCACAGCAGAGCTTCTGTCCAACACTGGTGAGTACAGACGATCACGATCACACTGTTTTAAATTTAAACTCTCTCTGTGTCAGAAAAAATAACTGTAACACTGCTGCAGCTGGTGTGTTTCACATTTTCAAACGGATGACATGGGAGCTGATTTAATAGCAGCACTGAACAGATTACATTTGTTGTACAGAGAAAAAGAAGTTTACATTTAAAACCTTTCATCTCTAATGTCAGGGTCTGAAGAGCTCACTGCTTTGTGCCTGACACACCTGCAGGGAGAGGCGGAGATTCAACTGAGTCTATCAGGTTTTCCTCAACAACACAACAAACAGCAGTGAGTGCAGCTGATCACGTTCATGTTTCAATGCTCTGTTCATGTCATTCTGACTCTTTTTGTTAGAGCCATCGTCTCCAAGCTTCTTCTTGTACATGGTCACCACAGCCATTTCCATCCTTTTGGCAAAATGCTCCAACATCTGTCCTTCCTCGTTTCTCTCATTAACACCATACCTGCCCAACACCTGATAACCTCTGCCTCCTTCACCTACATGTCAATTAAAGTCTGCTCTAAACACCACTCTCCTCCCCACTGAGGACACTCTCTGCCACTTTATCCAAGTTACTCCAGAATGTCTCTAACTGACATCAAACCTGTGGGGCACTCACGCTGACAACATTCAACATCACCCATTTGATTTCTTGTTTCAAACTAATGATCCTGTCTAACACAGATGGCTGGTATTGTCCTCATATGGATCTAAGAGTAAAAAAACCCTGTGAAACTGAGTGTTGGTCGTGTTTAACATGACCATCCACCACCGGAAGAGGAGACATGAGACAGAAGGAAGTAAAAGCAGAACAAGTCCACTTTAAATATGAGTAAAACTGAATTGTGCATAAAATAATTTCATTTTCTTTCTGTCAGACATGTCTGCTGCCTGCTGTCTTCAATCTGAAGATCGGTTTCTGTGCTCCATCTGTCTGGATCTCTTCACTGATCCAGTCTCCACACCATGTGGACACAACTTCTGCAAAAACTGCATAAGTCAACACTGGGATATCAGTGAGAGGTGTCAGTGTCCTGTGTGTAAAACGGTGTTTGAGATCAGACATGAGCTGGGGGAAATCTCTGAGCTGATGAAGAGAAGCTCTGAGGTGGAGCAGCTCTCACTCTCTAAAGATCACCTCCACCTCATTCAACGCTTCTCATGCCTACAAGTTGCTCCAACCAGCAATGACTGGACAGAGGTCAGTATCCATCCACTATCATATGAGCTGTTTGAGGCTGAGCTGAAGAGGATCCAGCAGTATGCAGTGGATATGACTCTTGATCCTGATACAGCACATCCGAAACTTATCCTGTCTGATGATGGAAAACAAGTACACTGTGGTGATAGAAGGAAGCAACATCCAGACAACCCAGAGAGATTTTTTAAAGGTGTTTGTGTTTTAGCAAAGCAGAGTCTCTCTTCAGGCAGATTATACTTTGAAATTCAGGTTAAAGAAAAGACCAAATGGTTTTTAGGGGTGGTCAGAGAGTCAATCAACAGGAAGGAAGACCCCAATCCGAGTCCTGCGAATGGTTACTGGACAGTAATTTTAGGTAAAAATAGTTTTATAGCTCTTGACAACCTTCCAGTCCATCTTCCTCTTCATCGTCCTGAGAAGGTGGGAGTGTTTGTGGATTATGAGGAGGGTCTGGTCTCCTTTTATGATGTAGATGATGCAGCTCTTATCTACTCCTTTACTGGCTGCTCCTTTACCGAGAAACTCTACCCATTCTTCTGTCCCGGTAATAATGATGATGGTAACAACTCTGCGCCGCTGATCATCTGTCCTGTCAATCAGCCAGTCTGATCTTTTTACATGAGGAAATTGGATCAATTATAGGTTAAGCTCATTATTTTAACTAACACAAAGAAGAAGTCCTATAAACAGAACTTGGCAAACTGCACCTTCTGAAGATTATGAGATTCACTCAGAAGCTGCAGAAGTTCAACGTTAGTTGATTTCTATTTATTTTTTAATCTGTTTACAAGTTGAAGAAAATGATCCATTTGAGGAAATCCAGTGTGAGTAAATAGAAACTCTCCTTTTCTTTTTCTTTTTTCAATGTTTAAAGGCACACGTATGAGTACAAATGTTAACATTGTATTATTTTAATTGACCTGGTGTTATATCAATATCAAAGTCAGGATGGAGACACTGTTCCTCTGTTCTACTACAACACACTTGTTCATAATCACATAAATATAAATCTGAACTTTTATCGTCTCCTTTGATGATCATCAGCTGCTGAACTTTAGTCATCTTACCTCTGAAGTAACAGGACTATGAGCTGCTGTTTTGAATCAGTAATATTATTGTGTGGATGCCACACTATTGAGATCCTGTTTCTCTTTATTCTTTATCCTTTATTGTGTGGATGCTTTAAGCATCCACACTATTGAGTTCCTCTTGG